AATTCCCCAGCCAGCCATGCTGGCTGGGGAATTCTGGGAGTTGAAATCCACACATCTTAAAGTTGCCGAGGTTGAGAAACACTGATGTGAGCTACTGGAAGGCTGTGTTCATGCAACCTGCCTAACATGGTTACTGAATTAAACCCTTTTCTAGGTTTGGACAATGCTCTGAACCATAACTGTGGAACCAAAAGCATCAGGTCCAGACAGCACACTCAGCCAGCAAGCCATCTAGCCAAAGTCAGCACTAAGCAAGCTTAGCCTACTGTAACAAACACAGCTACTAGGTTTCTGACTAACTTGATAAGTCTGATGGTGCGAACACAACCCAAACACGATGTAATGAAGGGGTGCTAAATCATTCCGTGCGACTGAGTTTGTCTGTAATATGCTGGCATCTATAGGGAGAGTCAAAAAAGTCAAGATGGTAGCTAGGACTGTGAGATTGAAGCTCTGCCCCTTTCTTACATAGATTGCATCTTCACTTCTTTGACCCACCTACCCCGACACCCCTCTATCCAGCAGTTGACTTTGTTCTTTTGTTCTCTATCTTTTTTCTGCCATTTTACTATTTTACATATTTAATTTTACTTAATGAGATATAAGGAAGAATGTATGAGCAGCATTTCATCTAATCATTCATTGAGGAAACATAAATACAACTTTTAGCAGACAGAACTGATGGCCCCAGGGTAACGTAAAGAACAACATGTTTGCGGCCATCTTGGATCACAGCGGACTCTGTACTGTGTTCCCCAAAAGCTTATGAGATAATAAATTAGTTCAGTTTTAAGGTGCCCCAAGATCTTTTTATTTGTGCAGCAAAAGACTGATGAGGTTACTCTTCTGAAAAACGTGAACATATTCATCTCACTATTGATTTTTCTGGTTGCCCGGAAAAGATGCCTTCCCAAGGCCGCATGTCTACTGGTGCCTTGGCCAAAGCTTTAGCAAGGTTTGAATCTGGAACTCATATTCTGAACACCAGAAGCAGTGGGAAAAGATCTACCATTTGGACTCACCAGAAGAAAGTCCGTGGGCTTAGTTACCTCTACACCTTTCACTTACCTCAAGTGAAAAGTGTAGAGTTCCAAACTAAATATTAGTCTGTGCAGGAATGTCATGTCAGATGTATCCAAGAACTTAAAGTCTGAAAGGTTCCATTCTGAAATATGAAATTGGGCCTTGTGTGTGGAATTCTGAAATTGAACCATCAGAACTCCACCACCGTTTTCTTCTGTGCTCAGTTCTCACACAAAAGAAATCTCTTTTATCTTTTAGGCCACACGCTCTGAAACAGAACAGGGAGCGAACCTCAAAAGGATGGATTCTCTCACTTCTTTCCCATATAATGATGACATGGAATTTCTGCCACTTCCCGAGAATGACACTTACAATTTCAGCAGGAATGGTGCTGAGATTTACTATGATGATCCCCATATCTCAAGGGTGATGCATATGGTTTCGATGGCAATTGACAGCACCACATTACTCCTGGGGGCCATTGGCAATGGCCTTGTCATCTTCTTCACTGGTTTCCAAATGAAGAAGACAGTAACCACCATGTGGTACCTCAACTTGGCTCTAGCTGATTTCATATTTGCCGTTTCTCTGTCCTCAGAGCTACTATATATTGCCCTTGGTCAATGGATCCTTGGGCGGCTACTCTGCAAACTTGACACTGTGGTGTCTTTCCTAAACATGTTTGCCAGTGTCTTTTTCTTGACAGTCATCAGTGCTGACCGCTGTGTTTCTGTCGTGTACCCAGTTTGGGCCTTGAACCATCGCACGCTCCAGCTGGCTTCCATAATAGTTGTCCTTATCTGGATGATGGCCTTGGGACTCAGCTCCCCCTACTACAGCTTCCGGGATGTGGAGTACACCGAGGATGGCTCTGTGCAGTGCTCCTATAGCTTTAGCTTGGAAGGGGCCAGTAACCTAAAATCCCATCGTTCTGTGGTGGTGACTGAATTTGTAATTGGGTTCCTCATCCCCTTCCACATCATCCTGGCTTGCTACTGCATCATTGTCTTCAAGCTCAGAGGGAAGACCTTTGGTCATTTTGGCAGATCTTTTAAAATCATCGTGGTGGTGGTTGTAGCATTCTTCTGCTGCTGGTTCCCTCACCACCTCTTCTCTATTCTAGAAACACTGGAAGACGAGAGCGGTGATTTAAGAATGGTGATTGACATTGGGGTGCCACTGGCTAATGGCTTGATGTGTCTCAACAGCTGCCTCAATCCGTTCCTATATGCTTTCATTGGTCCAGATTGTAGAAAAAGAAATTGGCACTCCTTCCTGTCAGCCTTCAAAGGTGCTTTTAGTGAAAACTGGACTGTGTCCTCTTTTTCCAGCAATAGGAATTCAGGTTCTACTTCAGGAATAGTGGAATCCAGCATGGTGTGACTTGTTCTTTTTGCACAGAGAACATGCCTACAGCTGCAATCACACAATGCACTTCCTGAATTCACCCATTAACTTGATTCACATAATACAGCAAACTATAAGCCAGTGTTGTCCAGACTTGGCCCCTTTAAGATGAGTGGACTTCAACTCCCAGAATTCCCCAGCCAGCCATGCCAACTCCCAGAATTCTGGGAGTTGAAGTCCACTCATCTTAAAGTGGCCAAGTTTGGACAACACTGCTATAAGCTAACCAAATGGAGCTGGGCCACAAAGTGAAAACTCCTCAAGCTTAGCCTGTTATATAATTGCAACCACTAGGATTGTCACTGGCTTGGTTAAGTGGAAGCACATCTTATGGCTGCATTCAAACAGTTCATTTAGCCAAGCCAGGTAAAGATCAAGCAGATGCAGTTGCACAACGCTCTAAGCCTGGTTAGGGTTAATTTGGTTAGGATTTTGGGGGCTCCTTGTGCTGTCTGAACTCAGCCATTTGGTTATTACTAGAAAATGGCTTAATTCAGGAACCAGATTGAGTTATGTGACCACACTTTGACACTTGTATAGAACAGAACACCCATGTGTGTTCTGAGTGTCCTACTACCCAGCAAACCCAAATTTTGCAAATAGATTATGAACAGACCATGCCGTTTGGGGGATATTTCTGTGACAGGGCCTTTTCAGTGGTGGCATTCCACACTTTCCAACAGAACCCTCTGTGTCTATTTCAGCAAACTCTTCATTGCTCAAACTTTCTATTTTTTATTTTTCTGCACTGTTTATTAGCCTTCTATAAACGGCCTCTAGATGTACTGGCCTATTATTCCCAGGGTTCTAAACCAGCATGGCCAATGATTGGGTATTCTGGGAACTGTAGTCTAGCAGATCTCAAAAACATTAAGTTCTGGTAGATGAATTTACTGGCATATAATTGGCTTGCTTTTATCCATTTCACTATTTTTTAAATTTTTTTGTAATACATATTAAGCATTTTCTAATTTCTGTTAATAATTGTATGCACCAGCTATGAAAAAGAATTTTTAAAATAGTGTGACTATTACCTTTTATAATCGCTTTTCTGCTTGGTTAGTTAGGGCTGGTTTGACTTCTAGACTATTAAGAGTTTTAAAGCTTGGTTACTTTTTTCTCTGATAAATTTTCTATAAAATAATTCTACATGTTTGCTTGTTTTAATCAAACTAATTTGCAGTTAGCTAAATTTAAGTTATATGAGGCTGTGGATTTCATGGACTTTCAGAAGTCAGAGCATTTTGATGGGAAGTGATCTTGTTTCCATACTTCAAACAGCCCTTGCAACTTCCACTTAATCATGGCACAAACACTGCCTGGCAACCTTCACTATATTCTCATCATGTGACCTTCCTCTTATCTCTACCCTATGAGTGAGAAAGGCTAAGTCATCCTTAGCTGTACTGTGTGAAAGTAGTGTTTTCCCTCTTATCCCATCACCATCCAAGAGCAGCCTCAAGGTGTATTCGATCTGTTACGTTTTGCTACTCATTACCTTGGAAGGAAGTCAGGGGACTGATAGTGACTGGGAACACAGGCAATAAAGGCAGGATAGAGAGCACCAATGGGGCCAGCAAATGTTATGCTGGAATACTTTTCTGCTCACTCGAAAATGAGTACAGAGCATTTCAACTCAACAGTGGGAAAAAGCCTAAAGTATTATAAACCAGCCTGACCAACAGTCAGTCAGTTTGACAAAAGCAGCATTGTGCCAGCATGACACAAGCCTTGCCCTGTTCATACATGTGTCATGGCATCACACCCACATCTGAAAGGAGTGGAGTTGACAGCACGACAAAAGCAGCTGGAACTACAGCCTCCTATGCCAGAGCATCATCATGATGGGCCAGTGTCACCCATACAATTGTAGGCTCCCAGGCTTCACACAGGCATACAACTCAACATACAAGGTAGGTGTAGGGCAGTGTTGTCCAAACTTGGCCACTTTAAGATGAGTGGACTTCAACTCCTAGCCATGCTGGCTGGGGAATTCTGGGAGTTGAAGTCCACTCATCTTAAAGTGGCCAAGTTTGGACAACACTGGTGTAAGGTTAGCAGACTAGATCCTATCCACCCCACCCAAGACATTTACTGAATAAAAATATGTTGGATGAAGAGGGTTCAAAGGTTTGCATGAAGAAGACATGCCTCTCTAACAAGGAAAATAGTTGTTTTGTTTCCAATTTTTGGGAGATGGAGTTACCATACATGTAACCCACCATTTTGATTTCCAGAGTGATGCCATGTCAGACTTTCCATGTTATTCTGGAAAAGTTAAAATGACACCTGCCAATATCCTCAAGGGGACGAAGGAAACCACCATTATGAAGGGACCCAAATGGGAAGAGATACCAGATTCAATCAAGTTAATGTTGTGTTGACGAGGGTTCATTGAATTTATACAGTTTACAAACTCCTGCTCCTAAAGAAATCCATTTTGTAGGGCATGAGGCCCAAGACAGGACAGGGGAGAAGATTACGGAGAACAAATTCTAAAGGATAAACAACCACCTCAGAACAAATACTTTTATTTAGATGCTCAGGGGAAGATTTAGAAGGATTATTGTGTCAATAAAAACAAAAGGCAGCATGCATTGCTTAGGGTTAAATCACATATCACAGCATGGTCATATATATGAAGTATAGACATGGAATTCTCTAAGTAAATACATGGAAAAAAGGTTTTGTGATAAAATGATGGGAGAAATATCATTCATCCACCAGGACTGAAGACTGGAAAGATGTTGTTTTGGTGGCCATTTCAACCATTGTTCTACTGATGATAGATAGATCCTGGTTAAGTTCTCAGAACACACTTAACCAGTTTCCTGCATGGGGGTTGTATAATCCACAACATCACTGAGGGATCAAATGGCTTGGGTGTGCACAAGATGATAAGCCATGATAATACTACCAAAATTATCACTAACTAAAGTTAACATGATGTACAACTGTACCAGGTAGCTGGCATGTTATACACATGCAACCAATATTTAGCCATCATTTATCTATTTACTTACACAATGATATAAACTTGGACAGTCAGTATAAAGTTCTATTCCTAAGACAGCAAACAGACAATGAATCTTTCAAAACTTGAAAAAGCAAAGCATTAAAAAAGAAAAACAATGTAAACCAGAGTGGTACAATCCAACTTGGCCACCTCTAGATGACCAGCCTTTCTGTCACCAGAATAGCTTATTTCACAAGTAAGTAAAGCAGGGATTGAATTGGTTCTTCTAATTATTGAAGGTTACAGGAATGCTTCTGGAATTAGAAAAGTATGTTTATTACTTGGCAAGCCTGTGGTGCTCACAGGGAACTAGCGATTATTCAGTCCTGTTGCCTAGTCACCATCCATGGATTAAAAAAGTTATGACAATCCAGTTGCTGCACAATTGCTGCACAATTCGGGTTACCAGATGCCCAGCAAAAGGAGGACATGTCCTCCGTTTTGTCCTCATGTCCTCCATCTGGCAGGCATAGCCTTAAAATCAAATATTGTCTGCTTTTTTGACACTCTTGTTTTCTTTTTTCTTTTTTGGACTGTTCTCACAAAAGTAGTCATTCAGACTTTTGTGTATTGTGACCTCATAAACTGTCTGCTTCTTTCTTTCCCTTGTCTGTTGACAGATTTATGTTATTTAATTTATTTCCTGATTCCTGGAATCAGCTTCAAATCTATGATCACTATAATCTGCAGATGGTCGTGTCTTTCTTTGGTGAAATTTGAAAAGCGTGTCGTCACTGATTCTATATTATCCCTAGCGTATACTCTTGAAAATAAAGATTTGTTGGAAAAATATTGTGATTGGAAAACCAGTCTTTCTGATGCTGGAAAAAGTAATGTCATATACATGTAGGCCTATGTACATTTTTTTTGCAGTTTTTTGCTATAATTTTTGATGCCAAGAAAGTGAAACAGTGTGTCCTCTTTTTCTCCCCATTTGTCCTCCTTTCCAATTGTCCATGTCCTCCTTTGCCTGTTCAGATATCTGGTAATCCTATGCACAGTCTACCCCAAACAAGAAACCCACCTCAATTTGCTACCTGAAACACAAATCCTCATTTGCAACAAAACTTGCATTGTACCAAAAAAGGACAAGGCTAGGGCAAAGCATTAGAGCCTGGTGACATCTTCCACATCAGGAGCTCACCTTACTTTCATACTAGAATTGTTCCTTCATCTGGAGGAATGTAGGGGTACCACCTCACGTTTGGAATGCTATTGCTAGACAGCTGAGGCAGAAGTGTCATATTTTTGATGCTACAATGAACATGTTTATCTAAATCGCATTGAGGAGAATTATTTTGTATTCCAAGGTGGAATCTAGACTGGATCTAATGGGAATTACATGAGAGTAGACTTTGGTTGAATACTGAGAAACAGTCTGCAAAAACCATTTAGTAAGGAAAGCAATTATCTACCGCAAAAGTGAGCTACAGAAAATGAGTCACAGAAGGTCTTCAAGCAGAATCTGGGAATTCCTTTTTTTAGCACTATTTTTTAAATTTATGAACAGGGGTGTAGACAGATGCTTATAAGGTCTCCAACTCTACAATTAGATGAGAGGATGTCTTTGAGCATGAGAAGTATATGGAAGTGGGAGGGCAAGGCACTCCTTTCATGCTGCTTATGTTATTTTACAACATAGTAATAGTCTTTATGTTGAATATCAGATTGCCAGAGATTTTATCTGAAATCTACATCACTGTGATCTGTGGGTTTTCATGGAAATGCACATACCTCATTTCACTGGGGACCAGATGAGGATTGCAGAAATGTGTTAATTGAACATCTGAATTAGCTACATACAAAGGGACCATTTCTGGATCCAGGCATCTGATTTCATCATAAGTTTTGCATTTCTTCAGATGTGCCTCAAAGAATCAAACCTCAAAGCAAGGAACCTTTGTCCTTTAACAGATGGGGAAACTGAACAGTGCAAAGCAGATTCAGAATGGGTTAATTTGACAGCCTTGCACTGGGATGGTTTTGAGAACCGAGATATCAGCTGGACTCAGAGCTCCTGGGAGACCGTCTGAACTGAAGATTTAGTCTTGTTAGTCATTGTGCTCTGACTGTTCCCTTCAGCAAAGGCATTCTCAAATGCAGAAAAGAGGGAGAGTCTCAGCCTCTTTTTGAATTCCTGACCCATGAAGACGTACAAGATGGGGTTGAGACAGCTGTTGATGAAAGCCAAGCTTGATGCCAAGGGAACACCAATCACCAGTACCAACACCATCTCTGGCTGTTCTCCATGCTTTAACTCAATGAAAGAAAAAATATGATAGGGCAACCAGCAGACAAAAAAAGCAACAATCACTGCTGTGATGACCTTGAAGGGCTTGTTTGACTGAGACAACTGATTGCTTCTCAGTCTCAGGAGAATGGCTCCATAGCAGAAAAGAATAACTGTGAAAGGAATGAAAAAGGCAAAGATGAAGCGGCTGATGACCATTGCAAGAAGCCTCATCATCACAGTCTCTTTGGTGTCCCCATAATGGTTATAGCAGTTAATACGATTCTCGTCATTTTCAGCTGGGGCTGTTTGCCTGAAATAGATAGCTGGGGAACACAACACCAGTGCCAGGATCCATACAACCAAGGCTACAAAAGAAGCCAGCCGTGGTGTTCGGTAATTCTGAGCCCACACCGGAAACATGACAGACATGAAACGGTCGATGCTGATGACCATGAGGAGATAAACACTGGCATAGAGGTTGAGGAACGCGAGGGTGCTGTTGATCTTGCACATGGCCAGGCCAAAAGGCCAGTGGAAATCCAGGGCTACATAAGCAACACTCAGGGGAAGGAAGAAGGTGAAGGTGAAGTCAGCAATGGCCAAGTTGAGGAACCAGACCGTGTTGACTGTCTTCTTCATACGGAAGCCAGTGATGAAGATGACCAGCCCATTGCCAAGGACCCCCAGCACAAATGCAAGACTGTAGATCACCATGGAGACAATGTGCATCCTTTTCAACAATACACGGCTGTCTTCATACATAAGTTCATATTCATATGAATAATTTTCATAGTCAAGAAAGTTATAAAAGTTTGTAATGTTAAAAGCTGTGTTGTTCATTTCTTTTGATAGAGACTCTCCTTCACTGATGACTTCTCCCTTTTCCTATAAGCAAAAACACAGGAAAGTATGAGCTGATAGGTAAAGGCAAGAACAAGCAACTTTTGGTAGCTGCAGGTCACACTTAATATTTGAGCTTTGGAGGATTTTAAAAATAGATTTCGATTGAACATTTTAAGGGAAAAAAACACATAGATGGAAAAGGAGAAAGAAGGAAAATCAATTCAGTTCTGTTGAGTGGTGCAATTCAAGGTCTGGGTGGTCACCTGTGAAACACTTCCTGTCAATCTCTCCAATTGTCTCTACCTGTCCCATCAGGTCTGGGCAAAGGGACATGGTCTGGGTCCTGTTGAGAATCCCATCTTGTAGGAATCTGTGTGCCTTTTATGGCAGTGCCTGCCTTTTGGAACACCATGCCCCCTGAAATTAAGTTGGCGTTGACCATGTTAGCCTTCCAGGAAGCCCATGAAACCTGGCTGCTTCCTTGGCCTGGGGGCTGGGAAGTTTGGTGAGCTCATGATGATCTGATTGATTGGTTTTTCTCGGCTGCCATTTTTATGCTTTAAAAAAAAAAACAGTTATGATTGTTTTATCTTGTTACTGTTTTGTATTGACATTTTAACTCTGTTAGCTGCCCAGAGTTACGTTTGCGGGATGGTTGGCCATATAAATCAATTAAATAAATAAACCATAAACAGACAAAAAAGGGATAAAAGAGTAGAATCGGGTGAATAAGCAAGGGATTGGCAAGTACCATAACAATTATAATTTTTCAATATTTCATTAAGTGATTATAGATAACTGAGCATATTCTAACGTTTGAAACACCTGAAAATGGGAAAATAATACCATTCAGACTGATCCACGTTTACTCTCAAGCAAGTTATTTATTTATTAATACATGATTATTAATTATTTTAAGCATTAATTAATATTTGTTTAATTAAATTAATTAATAATAAATAAAATTATGTTTATTAAATAACTGGCCACTGATTGGCAGGGAAAGTTTATAGAATTATATCTTAAATAAATGAACGTACTCCCAGGCACATATTCTACGTGTTTCCTGAGCATTTAAGCACTTGGCTCAGCCCAGCTGTCTTTTACCCCCAAACCCAAATATGTGGCCCTAATCCTGCCATACAATGATGCTGCCTTATCTTTCCACCACTTGATCCAAGTCGGCCTACTTCACCCCAGTCAGATAGGTGACTGATTTGTCAACCAATGAGTTTAAATATAGCGGTGGTGCCTTGAAACGTTCCTATCAAAAATACCCTTGGTGGGAACCTGGTAGCAATTGCTCAAAGAGATCTCCCAGATCTCTTTGCCATCCTCAAGATGCTCTCTCTCTCTCTCTCTCTCCTCTTTGTATATGTGAAATTTGTCACTGCCCATCTCATTAAAAATGACTCTGGGCGGTTTGCAAAGCAGTTAAAATCAATGAAAAATACAATGTAAAAAGTTCCTGAACAAATAGAAAATCAAAAAAATCCAAGAGTGGACGTTAAATTGGCAGTAACTTGGGGACCCACATCAAGGCACCAGCCATCCCCAGGATTGGGTAAAATTCTGGTCACCCCACACCAGCTGGCAGAGACAGGGCTTTAATCCTTTCCGGAAAGCTGGGAGGGTAGGGGCCTGCTGCACCTTCGGGGGGGGGGGAGAATAGTCCAACGGGTGGGGGCAATGGCAGAGAAGGCTCTCCTCCTGGGTCTGGAGGGATGAGAGTCATGGAAGGAGGTACATGGGGGCGAGTTTCTTAGTCAACACAGGAAAGAGTTGCTTACTCTGTTTTGCCCTCAGTGCAGGAAAGACTGAACAAGAGGAGATTAAGAAATATTTTGAATGCCAGAAGCCTTGCGCACGGTGCAGCAACTCTGCTTTTGAAATGTGCCAAGCAAAACAAAATAAAACAAAAAAGACTGACAGCTAGGAAAAATCATCAGCTGCTGAATGTCTGCCCCAGAACCACGTTGCTGACAGCCATAACAACATTTTTTTTTTCCGGGAAAAAAAAGGAAGAGAAATGATCTGGTGTATTTATATAAGCCTGTCCAGCAACATTACTGCCAAAAAGTGCAACTCCTTTTGCAACTTGCCCAAAAGCCTCGGGGACAGCTCCCGAGACCTCAAAAATGATTAGCAAATTGGGTTGGTGGGTCTTTGTTTTTATGTAAGAAAAAAGTGGAAATTATTAATACATGGCTGAAGAATAATTGTAGGAACTGAAACCATTTTTCATTGAGTTTCAGAGTCAATGGGATGAAATTAAATTTCATTTCTGGCCCCCACTCAATACTTTTGGGGATTGGATCTCCAGTCTGCAGGGATCTCGCTCAGCATTTATCCTTACTACTGGAGAGTAAATTTCTGTGTGAAGAATTTTCCAGACTGTCCAATTTAAGAGTAAAGAATCATAAGGTAGATAGCTTCTTAGCCATCAACAGTCAACCTGAGCAGCAAATACAAGTCATATCTAATCATATCTGCACTATGGTGTGGTGGACTGAATTCCTATTTAAATCATGGCTATTATTTCTAGATTTACACAGATGCATGTAATGCCTATGCAAATTTTTTGTAAAACTTTGCCTTCTTTTGGGAGGAAAGGATAAGGTTCCTCTTTTTTGGCACAGATAAGTCAACATCCTACAGTAAGCAATGAATTAACTGTAACCCAATCTTGAAGATTAGTCTGAAACAGAAACGAAATGTAGATAAATTGGTTGCCAAGGAATATTTGATTTAGAAACAGTCATAGCTATTAATCTTCTGGATCTTCCCAATACCTTTGCTCTTATTTTTCCAAGAAAGAGAGATAAGGAACTTGTTCAGGAGAGGGTAGAGCTAACTAACAACCCAAGATGGTGAAATGGAACTCATGAAAGGAAATTCTTTCTCCTCAGCTCTTGGAGTGAGAGATTCCATCCAGTAATGGGAAGGGAAATGTTCTGATCTGTCTTGTCTTAACAATGTCACCCAATATAGTTCTGTTTGTGACACCATCAGGTCAGCCAGCTGCCCGTAAGGTTCCTGACTGGATAGATCCACAGCCATTAGTCTTGGTGCTGAAGCAACTTCTGCAAAAGGTGCCGTTCAGAGAGGAAGATTTATGGAGAAGCCCACATTTCCTCTTCCTCCTCTTCCTTTTTTTACCCAGAGAAATGACTTAACCGCAATCACACCCTGCAACTTGCAGAGGAGGTAAAAAGGAATAAAAAAGAACAGTACTACAGCAAGACCAGTTGTCCATCATTCCTCTTTGGAAATAAGGAGCCATAGTCAAACTATAAAATTGCACAGCATCCTCTTGCTCATCTCCCTGCCTCAATGCTATGCCTCTTGAGCTTCCACAAGACCATCAGCAAGTTCCATACACTTGCCAATGCAATTTTGGGCTGTTGAACAGCAGCATGAGAAGCAAAAATTCAACCGAGGGACAGGTGTACCCACCAAATTTCAGTTGGCCTTGCAATACAACCAGAGCAATTTAGGGCCACCCAATCAAGACTGTAAAAAACTAGACACCCAGTTCGATGGGAGCCAAGAAACACAGAAAACTCATAATTCTTTTGCTGCCCTCTACCCCAAGAGTCTATACTTTTGTTCACATTGGAGATGTTTGCATAAACTCCAACATACAGATGGGGGGGGGGGTGTTTGTTTATTTGTTGGATTGATATCCTTTCTTTTCTCCAGAAGCTCAAGGCACCCCATTCCTTTCTCCAATTTTTCCCTACAACCACCCTTGAAGTAGTCTGGGCTGAGAGAGTGACTGATCCAAAGTTACATGGAGATTCCTCAGCTGAGCAGGAAATTGAACCTGAATTTCCCTAGTTCTAGCCCAACGTTTTAGTCACTGCATGTTGTTATATATAAGTTCAGACTGAAGAAGCTTCTTGGACAAGTAGCGAAACATCTCTAACCAAAAAAGAAAAGAAGTCCAGTTGCCATGATTCCGCAGACAATTCCACCTGGATGCCTGAATAAATGTAAGCAAAACTATGTTGGCTCTTAAGGCATTTCTAGATTAGGGATGCCAGGTTGCATAGAATAAATAACCTGAGCATGCTCTAGGCACAACTGAAGCCCAGTTGGCACTTTGGGCAAAATGTGCCCAAACTGTCAAGGGTTTTCCTTACTTTAGCAGGGAATGCTGCGTGTGGCCCAGCTGTGGCTTCTCTATCTTCCTGAAAAACATTATGTGAATTCCGTTTGCATTTGTTGATTAAGTTTATGGTCTCTCTTTTTTTCCTCCATGGCACTCCACCACGGCACCGTCCCTCAGCCACAGAAGTATTTCTTAGCTTTTTGGTTTTGATGATTAGTAAGAGTGGGTTATAGAAAGAAGGAAATTATGATGAATCAGAGAGAGTGGTTTGATTAGAATTATATACATAACCACCGAGAGGAAGCTATTTCTTTATATATATAATTTTTTCCCAATTTTTTTCCTTTTTTTCATGCATTGTCTTTTTCTTTTTTCTAACTTCATTTCTCTCTGTTTTTTCTTTCCTTTTTCTCTTTTTCCCACCTACTTTGCTATCTTTTTTTCTTTGAATGTATTTCTTATTATCTATGTAAAAGCTTTTAATTTTTTTTTAAAAAAATATTTCTTACCTTGGGGCAAAGAAAAGCCTTGCTGCTGTGTTCCCTCTCACAGATGTGGCCTTCTGCTAACCAGCCAGGAAACAGAACTGGTGGTAGACAGTTATATAGGCAGAGCGTCAGCAATTATTTCTTTCTCCACCCAAGGGAATCTTCCTATCACTTTACCACATGCAAAATTGCAGCCTTCATAACTTGAAACCTATGGAAACCAATGGATTCTTTCTCCAGGTTACTTCCTGGCAATCCAACTGGACTTGAAGGGTTTTGATATTAAAAGGCTGCAAATAGTATCAGCTAAAAGGTATTGTGCAGCTCTTCCATATTAATAATTGTGTTTTTCTTTTTCTTTTTTCTTCTAAGATAACAAGGAGAATGGGGAGACATGAGAGGTTATAAAAGAATGGCAAAGTTGTTTGGAACCCATAAAATCCCATGAGTTCACAACGATGACAATGGAATCAGAGCAGCAAGTTTTGAATCTCTTGTGGGTTCCTGGAGCCATTTCTACACTTACTTTACAGACAACGTAGCCCAGTTTATGGTAAAGGGTTGTCTGAGATGCAGATTCCATGTATCTCCCTTCCAAAAGCAATTGCTTCTTGTCATGTCAGAATACAGGTCCATCCATCATACTAGCTGGACTTGCCCCTTGACTCTGCCTTTGTGGCTTGTGCTTTATTGTTTAGAATGGTGAGAGTTAAAACCCGGAGTTTCTCAGGACAGAGATGTCAGTTATGTCAACCATCAATAGCCACTCAGCTTCAAAGATAAAAAGCATAAGGCAAAAAGTCCATTCAACCATGGGAAGGGTAGGAGATGGAAACTTCAGAATCAGCAAACATAAAGAGGAATTCCTCTTTCATGCTGACAGAGATTATTCAAGCATTTTAGTGGCTTCTTTCAAGCACGAAAAGAAACTTTCTAGAATGCTGGGTCAAGGGTTGGAGATCTTTAAGCCAAATATGAAACTAGAGCACAATCAAGACACGCTGAGCTGAGTGTCGAAAAATTTGCCAAGGTCTTGTCACTGAGCCTGACAACAATGCCTCTATATACCATAGTACTTTGGATTCCAACCAAGGACAGAAATGCTGAGGAGCCACCAGATCACGTTCCTAAGAAATTGGTCTATATCTCAACTTTGTTGTTAATAGGGTAGCCCATCCAGGTCTGAGAAAAAACCTTCTAGAGCTCCAGCATCTAGCAGGACCCATCAGCTCTGGAAGTGTCAGGTTCAAATGTTGACAATGCACCCTCAAAGTGATGTTGTTCCCTTAAGTGGTAGGGTATTCTGTGGATTAGACTCACAACAGGGGTGTCCACAGGGGCAACACACATAAAAAAACAGGTGGAGTTTCAATCTCACCATCACAGCTGCCATTTTTACTTTTTGGGCTATACCCTGAGGATACCCCTGCCTCACACCAAGACAACTTAGTTCACATGAAAAGCTTACAATGGGCTCTAATCAGCTGGGTTGCTACTGGTTTTGGGGGGGGCAAGGTTTGTTCATTACCCCCCACCCAAGACTGTTCAGAATAGAGTTGATTGGGAAGAAAAAGGGAACTTTTACTTCTTGGGTGAGAATGTAAACAAAAGGATGACCAAGACTCCAAAAAAAGAAAATGTTGAGGTCACACAAAGAACATCTATGAGAAGACTTGGACACCACATATCAGTTCATAAATCCTAAGACTTTAATTTTTTAATCTTAAGAGGCAGAGTTTGGAGCAATGAGAATGTATGAGTCCTATCTTCCTTAACAAGGTGTCCTCTTTTTTTTTCACATTCTACCAGAATAGTTCTGATGCCTGTCTAGATATTTTCCCTATTCAATGGCTTTCCACTGTTTATCCAATTCCCTTTCGTGGGAAAGGCGTGGGACTGAGCCTTTTCATCATGGGACCTGATACTGGGTTATGATCTTCTTCTGCAGAGGTGTCCCGGGGGAGGTCAAAAACGTTCAGATGGTGACCACAACATGCAACTGAAACCCTGCTCTTTACATCGTGACACAGGTAAAAAAAGGGCAGGGCTTCAGTTCATTGGCTGTTGCTGTCATTTTTACTTTTTTTTAAAACCCCAACCCCACCCCGGCAGCCAACCCTGTTCTTCTGCAGACAATCATCAACATTGCACCTTAGGTCCTTAGAGCAGTGTTTCTCAACCTTGGGACCTTTAAGAAGTGTGGACTTCAACTCCCAGAATTTCC